TATCAACATCAGCTCTGATCACACTGTCTCCTATATCAACATCAGCTCTGATCACACTGTCTCCTGTATCAACATCAGCTCTGATCACACTGTTTCCTATATCAACATCAGCTCTGATCACACTGTCTCCTACAGTATATCAACATCAGCTCTGGTCACACCGTCTCTTATATAAACATCAGCTCTGTTCACAGTGTCCTGTATACACATCAGCTCTGATCACACAGTCTCCTGTATACACATCAACTCTGTTCACACTGTCTCCTATATCAACATCAGTTCTGTTCACAGTTTCCTATATACACACATCAGCTCTGATCACACCGTCTCCTATATACACATAAGCTCTGATCACAGTCTCCTATATACACACATCAGCTCTGATCACACCATCTCCTATATACACATTAGCTCAGATCACAGTCTCCTATATACACACATCAGCTGTATTCACACTGTCTCCTATATACACACATCAGCTCTGATCAGTCTCCTGTATACACATCAACTCTGTTCACACTGTCTCCTATATCAACATCAATTCTGTTTAGATTCCTATACACACATCAGATCTGTTCACACCGTCTCCTATATACACATAAGCTCTGATCACAGTCTCCTATATACACACATCAGCTGATCACACCATCTCCTATATACACATAATCTCTGATCACAGTCTCCTATATACACACATCAGCTGTATTCACACTGTCTCCTATATACACACATCAGCTCTGATCACAGTCTCCTGAAAACACATCAGCTCTGTCCACACTGTCTCCTATATACAGTACACATCAGCTGTATTCACACTGTCTCCTATTTACACACATCAGCTCTGATCACACTCCTATATACAGTACACATCAGCTCGAACCGTTGCCACTATGAAAGATCATCTTTGATAACACTGTCTGCTATAACACAATATCACAATGATCACACTGTTAAAATTAAACAAAAATATAAACAGAGACAGAAAAAACAGACAGATTTATCATTTGATAGATTATGGTGAAGAGCAAACTTCAAAAGAGAAATGAACTCAGGAATGACCAAATAAATTGATGGCATGCAAAAACAAATAAAGAACAGAATATACATCAGAGAAACACATTACAAATAACAGAGATTTATTTTTGGGGGTATCTCTCCTGTAATGTAGAACCATATGTAAAACATAATGTAAAACCATAATTGTACAGATGAGAAAATGCCAAAGCGCACAACAGCACAGTGAAATAATGAAGAGCAGGGAACAGGTGTCTGTAGTGCCTGGACAGACACACAGGGGAGGGCAAAGCACTGCAGCTGGCCCTGCTCCCATGGAATGTGGAATTCCCAATTGGACCCAAGCACAGATCCTGTCGCAGGATCCGGAATTTGACAACTGACCATGTAGTTTCTGGTCAAA